GGTGTGGGGCCGTGTCCCGCTTGTCCCGCGGCACCGTAACCCCGAGCCTCGAAAGGAACCGGCTTTCCTTTCCCGCTTCTCCTCCTTTATTTCAGCCGAAACTCTTAAGGGTGATAGTGAGAAAACATTGTAGCTCGATGTCTGTCCCTCCTTCCCCCCAGCTAATCCCCCATCTGGAGAATAGAGGAGGCGTGTCCTGCCATGGTAAGGAGATAAATTCCCGACATCTGTCGCTAGGTTTATAAACACAATTATTTTTAGTGGAGCTTTCCTCAGGGCATAAATGTAATCTGAGAAAGCATTTAATATACTGAGTTTAAAGAAAATGGTCACTGGCAGAAGGGAACATGAAGCAGTGATCTTCTTAAGAGTTTCGGGTGGTTTTTTTTTTTTATAGTAATGGACCACTCCATACATGGAGAATTTTATAGATGCCAATATGGAGAGTTTCCATGTTAATTACAATAATTCAAATAATTATAACAATAGTGCCTTAATAGCTGTATCCTTTACTGCTAAATTGTGGGCATAAAAGGGAGCTTTGTGCAAACAGAACATGATTTAAACGCATAATATAAGTGATGTAATGAAACCTAAGCATAATATGCTTATATCAAAACTGACTGCTCAGTGTGCATCTTTGTTTTTCGCACTGTAACCATTCAGAGACGATACAAATTGTTTTGAAGCATCCCCTCCTCCACGTAATTGTTTGGCTGAAGGTAATTTCCCAGTCTGGAAATTCCAGATTTTATCACCTTGGATGGAAAACTTTAGCCTCAGTGTTCACCTCATGGAGCCACTGCACTTTGCTTGCAAAGCAGGTGCGCTATAAAATTTTCATTGTTGTTTTCTGTGCTCTGTTTTCTGAAATTTTTGACGTTTTGACATTCTGACATAATTTATCCAGTGTTTAGTATATATTCCTCTAGAATTTAGTTTTGTTTCCCTCACATTTTAGTATGAGCTAATTTTTGCAAATTCTGTAGAGTGTGAGAAACTGATAGCAATCCAGATGCAATTCTGATTAAAATATCAAAATACATCCATTTGCATAAAGAAATTTGGATTCTGTTAAATGGAGAGGGTGGGAAAAAAGGACAAGAGTAAAGGAAAGCTGGTAACACAGAGTCAACCAAATGTCCAAAATAAAACACAAAACATTTTTGGTTTTTCATGACGGGGAAAAGTTTTCACTGTATCTGTGATTAGACTTTTTAAGATGCCATGAAAAGGTTGGAAGAGTCCTTGCATGATTGCATAAAAATAATGATTCAGGAGTCCTCAAGAAATCCTGGCCCAACTTGTGCAGCCCTTTCAGTATCTCTGTGCTGTATTACTTTTTAATACTTATTCCAGAACCCTTCTGTTGCAAGAGAAGGTGAGTCATAGTTAAGGTCTCATTAATACTGATGTCTGCAGCCATTTAGTTCTTCCTTATTCTTTCAAAACTAGAGCTAGTACAAAATAAATTTTGCCCTGTAAGACATATAGTGTACTTATCTGGATGTTGGTAGCAGCTGTTTCATTCTCTGGCAATGTCCCTTTGCATAGAATGGTTTGGGTTGGGAGAGACCCTAAAGATTATCAAGTTACAAACCCCCTGTCAAGGACAAGGATGATTCTCATTAGACCACATTGCTCAGAACCCAATCCTGCCTGGCCTTTAACACTTCCAGGGACGTGGCATCCACAACATCTCTGGGCAACCTGTTCCAGTGCCCTACCATTCTCAAAATAAAGAATTTCTTCCTAAGATCTAATCTAAATCTAATTTTTTTAGTTTATAACCATCTTCCCCTTGTCCTAACACTAATATGCCCCTATAAGACATTGCTCTTTACCCTTTAGGTACTGGAAGGCCTCAATGAGCTCTTCCCAGAACCTTCTCTACTCCAGGCTGAACAACCTGAGCTCTCTCAGTCTGTCTTTATAGCAAAGATGCTTCAGTCCTCTGACCATTTTTGTAGCCTCTTCTGGACTCTCTCTAACAGATCCACATCTTTCTTATGCTAAGGACTCCATACCTGGACACAGCACTCCTCTTGGGATCCCATGAGGGGAGAGTAGAGAGGGACAATCACCTACCTTGATTTGCTGGCCACCCCTCTTTTGATATAGCCCAAGATACCATTTGCCTTCTGGGCTGCAGGTGAACTCTCTACATCCTCCTCAGCATGGTTGCTCTCAACAAGTTCTTCTCCAAGTCTGGACTCACATCTGGCATTGTTCCGACCCAGGTGCAGCACTTTACACCTGGATTTATTGAACTTGAGGTTCCTATAGACCCACTTCTCAAATTTGTCTGCCTGGATAGGATGCCTTCCTTCTGTTGTGCCATCTGCACCATTCAGCTTCATGGCTTCAGACTTGGTGGGGTGCACTCAATCCCACTGACAGTGTCATTGATAAAGGTATTAAAGAGCCCTGATACCAAGACAGGCCCTTGAGGGATATAAATCATCACCAGCATCCACCTGGACATAAGAGCACTAACCACAACTCTGCCTGCATCCATCCAGCCAATTCCTTATCCACTGAATATCCCATCCATCAAATCCATGTCTTCAATTTGGAGATAAGGATGTCATGTGGGACCGCTTTACAGAAGGACTTACAGAAGTCTACGTAGTTGACATCTGATAGTCCTCCCTTGTCAACTGTTGCTGTCACTCCATCGTGGAAGGCCACCAGATTGGTCACACATGATTTGCTCTTAGTGAAGCCATGCTGGCTATCTTGGATCATCTCCTTGTCTTGTATGTGCTTAACATTGTTGCAAGAGTATCTCCTCCACAGAGCAGATTCTCTTTCTTCCCAGGAAAGAGAAGGTTTCCAGTATATGGTTATATAGTTATATACAGGTATATAGTTCCCTGGATCTCCAGTATGTGCTTCCCTGGATCTTCCTTTCTCCCCTTTCTAAAAATACGTTTCTCTTTTTCTAGTCACTGAGGACTTCACCTGACTGCCATGGTTTTCCAAATATGGTGTAGAGTAGCTTGGCAACAACATTGGTCAGTTCCCTCAGGACCCTGGGATGCATTTTATCAGAGCCCACAGACTTGTGGCTATTCAGCTGCATCAGGTGGTCTTGAACCTGCTCTTCACTTTACAGTGGGAGTGACTTCATCCCCATTTTGCACCATGCTGTTTGTTATGAATGTGGTCTTTGTCCTTTTATCTCTCTTTAGAGCTATCTTAAGACAAAAAAATTATTTTTAGTTTTTGTTTTGTGGCCCAAACTTCATGTTGTAATGCAATGAAACAGTTTATAGTATACCCTTCATTTTTTGCTTGGATGAGTCCCTTGGCACCTTACCTAAACCGAGTGGAAAAAATGAGCTCTTTAACCCAAAAATAAAAGAAGTATTTCCATGAAATTGCACATTAATAATTCTTATGCAATTGCTAACAAGTGATCATAGTGAGAGCATGTCTGGAGCACCTGGAATATTTTATGGCATGACTCTGGCTTCTCAGTGTAAGAGAGAAACTTCTCAGAGGAGAGTAGGTATTGCAACTACTTCACTCCAATGACTGTGTAAGAATTTAGGGTTCGCAGCCCAAGGCAACAAGAGTTTTGAATTGCACTCTCTCTGGTGTTTAAATGCTACCACAGGTACCTAAAACCATACAGGCAGTGTAGTAGACATTTGCAATGTGGCTACAAAGGGTGTAGGTAATGAATATTCTTTGTTGTGCATTAGCATATGTGCCAGTAAAACTCTGCATATAAAATTCTTTAAGGGAAAAATTATGAAGAATAATTGGGTAGAAATGTAATTAATTGTGTGCTAGTAGTACTTGCATTATGTACCTTAATACAATTAAGAAATCAACTGACAAAGATTTAATTTATTTTAAAAAGCTAAAGATACACTGGACATGTCAGACAAAGCATGTCCGAATCTTTGGGAAAAACATTGATGTGCAGCTTCCATTCCCACAGAGCAAAAAATACTTGTTTCCTTTAGTTTAGCACACATTTAGTAGCACACAATTTATATTTAAAGTATGCATAATTTAACACTGTAATTTTATCTTAGATTTCTGTTGACATGAATAAATGAACCACATTCTTTGGAAAACCATCTTATCATGCATAAAACATCCAGTCTTCCTTCAAGTGCTCAATAAATCTTCCACGGTGAGAGAGACTTAATTTTATAAATGGACAAAAGAGAAAATGAACAAAACCACTTACTGGTTCTTGAGGGTATCCTCCTATTTCAGCCCAGAATTGATTACCCCAGCATCTGCTGGGTCTGTGGGTGTGTAGGCCTTTGTGTTGTGAAGTATTGCTGAACTGAAATCAATACATGGAGGTAGGATTTCCTGGTATTATGGTTAATTTCTTCTCTTTTAGGCTGGTGGTACAACTGTATTAAAATTTATTAGACAACATTTTATTACCAATGTGTAAGGATGCATAAAATGTATTTGTGAATTGATAGAGTTTCTAAGTAGCAGGCCAGTTGAAAAGAAATCACCCAGCCCAAAACCACATGCATTCTGAGGAGAATGAAAGAGCTAGAAGCTTTTATCCACCTTCAGTTTGTACCAGTTGTGAGAAAACGTAAGTAACAATGAGTGAAGAATGTGCTAAACAATTACTTGGCTGATTATTAACATACTCATACTTCTCAAGTTTGTATCTTTTTGTGTGCTTTTCTCTGCTTCTGTGTAAGGGACAGGTTTTAAGGACGTACTACTCTTGAGGTACATAACTGGCATGCCCAAGGGCAGATTTGGGAAGTAGCTCCCACTTCACACAACCAAGAGTGATAGCTGCTGTGAGGCAGTGGTACATCTACTGGTGGGGGGGGTGTGGTCAGATCTCCCTCTGAGTGTGCCTGTTTGTCTCTGAAAACTAGCAGGAAAATCTGATGTGACAAAGCTTATTTTGGTGCCTGCTAGGCAGTACAACTCCAGGTCTTAAGTGACAGACTACTGAATTGGAATCCATGTAATCTTAGCTCTACTCTGTGCTAGTTTTGACTGGGGTAGAGTTGATTTTCTTTGCAGTAGATAGTGTGGGGTTATGCTTGGGATTTATGCTGGAAACACTGTTGATAACACAGGGATGTTTTAGTTACTCTTTAGCAGTGCTTGTACAGCCTCAAGGCCTTTTTTCTTCTCACAGTCTCATCAGGGAGGAGACTGGGGACGCACAAGAAGCTGGGAGGGGAAACAGCTGGGACAGCTGGCTACAACTGACCAAAGGGATGTGCTATATGACCCATACCATATGCTATCATACTCAGCAATAAAAAGTGGGAGAAGAAGAAGGAAGAGTGGGGACATTTGGAGTGTTGGCATTTCTCTTCCCAAGTAACACATGCTGGAGCTCTGCTGTTCTGGAGGTGGATGAACATCTACCCACCCATGGGAAGTGGTGAATTAATTTCTTATTTTCCTTTTCTTGTAGTGCGTGGCTCTTGCTTTCCCTATTAAACTATATTTATCTCAACCCTTGAGCCCTCTAACCTTCTGGTTCTTCCCGTCCTCACCCCACCCTACTGCAGAGGAGCGAGCAAGGGGCTGCAAGGTACTTAGTTGCCAGCTGGGGTTAAACTAAAGCATACCCTCACAGTGTATTGGCCAGTCCCTCCATTTCCCATCCCAGCTTTTATCTGCCTTTTACACTTAGAGGTTAAGCTCTGTAGGCACAGTCTTTATTTTTTTTCAGTCCATACAACCTGGGAAATGTTTATCTGTGGCATGCACAGATAAATAAACATAAAATGCAATACAGATTCTGAACGCTCAGAAAAAGAAATCAACACAGACACAGAGGCTGTGTGGACTTCTATTCTTGCTCAGTGCAAGGACATCTTAATCTACCAGTTTCCCTGAAGCTTCATCTGTGGCTGCCTGCAAACCTGTCACGTGTATCCCTACACTTGCAAACAAAATACACCCTAAAAAACCCATAGTGGGATGACTGTAATAAGATTTTGGGTACTGAGATACTTGCATTTCCTCAGCTCTATTATCTGTCCAAATGAAAATATTCTCAGTATTCCATCTGAGCTAGTCATGGTTCTTAACACTTACAGCTCTCTTACCAGTTTGAAAAGGTTCATCCCCAAATGCATCATCCCTAGAGAAAATGAGGCTAAGTGACTTGAAGAACAAGGAATTCATGAGTAATGATGAGTTTACAGTCATTCATCTTGTCATTCAACAGTTAGGACAAATGATATCATTCTAATAGGTGACTAGGAATCTGGAAGTCTGAGAGTTGAGAGTTATAGCAAAGTTGGCTCAAGTATATAAGAAGGGACAAAAACATTTTTAGAACATAATTAAGGAATTACCAAGTGTCAAAAAATATGAAAGCATTAAAATGTATAATTTAATGTGCATTGTATGTATTTCTAACAAATCTTCATAGTTTAATTAGCTTCAGTTTTAACATGTAAGATATGAAAAGCAGTGTGAAATTGTTTAACAAACATAGAGTGATGTAAAATGTGTACTTTATATAGAGTTCCTGTCTGCATGGCACTGCTGTGATATCTTCAATTGACATTTGTTGGGATTGAGCTCCTTTATGGTATTGAAAATGGTATTTCCTGAAAAATGTGTCCTTCCCACATGCTATTTTATTGAAATCAGTATTTGCCACTGAGTGCTTTTTCTTTTTTAGTCTGCATGTTATATAATCCATAGCCTTATATATATTCAAACAGAACCCTTAAGCTGAACAATCATCTCCAAAACAATATTGGTTTAAAATAGCTCAGAGTAGATCTAATCTCATCTCACTTTTCTGTTATTAAAGTAAAACAAAATTCTGTATACTTTTCAAATTTTAATGTTGTCTATATAATTATTTAATATTTTCCTTTCTATGCATTTTCTGCTTTTCATATCCTCTTTTTCTGTTAATTCTGGTTTCAGACCTTATATGGTTTCATATTTGTATCATGTTTTTTTCTTTTTCTTGTGATTTTCTGATGCCTTTCTCCACCTCTTTCTTTCATTGCTAATTCTTTCTTCTTATGGGGATGTGCTAGAATAGAGCCAGGAAAATTGCAGTCTGGTTTCTAGTTCTGTGGCCAGCATTTCAGGAGTTACTTCCTCTCCCCATCTCTCTGCATCCCAGTCTGGAAAAACAAGATAATAAGCTGGCTGCTGCGTGGTTAGCTTTGAGACATACTGGTGGAAAGCTCCTTTAAGCACAATTATTACATTTCTGTATTATACCTCTTCTCTACCTCAGTGATCTCCTCAGTGCTCAGTATTATTTTCAGCTCCTCAATTCTTAGTCTTCTGCTTCTCCTTCCCTCCTCCTCCAACCGCTTCTTCTACCAGTAACATTTTCAATGTAGACCTTCAGCATAGTATGGGTATTACTGATTTTGCCATTTTGTGCAGATCATGTGTCAGCTACATTCACTTTATTTCTCTCTTCAAGGAGAGCTGTGGCAGCTCTCAAGTGATGGGTTCCATTGATTTCATGCTGACTGATGTCAGTGAAGAATATGAATGATGGTGCAACACCATTTTAGTTACAGAATGATTTTAGTTATAAAAATGATCATAAGACTCTTAGGAAGATATGTTCAGTTATGAATAGCAATCATGGTGTCCTATGAAACCCTGTAAAGAGCAAATGCGCACACATGAAGGCAGCCCTCACGTGTTCGTTCATGAGGTTATTTAAATTATGGTTACACGGATCTAGGGCTTTTGGGAGAAGAACTTAAACAAGAACTACTTGGAGATTATAATGCTAATGTCAAGCAGAAATCAAATGTTAGCCATGTCTTGACTATGAGGAAAAGATGTGCCCTGTCTTTCTACATCCATGTTCATTTGCTATGAACCTATTCCGGTGTTTGTCAATACAGCTTTTGGCTTTGAAGAATCTTAATCACTTTCAGTGAAGGAGCAGGAAATTGTCAAAGACTGCCAGTGTTAAGTGTCTCAGACTAAGTGCCAGAAGTGCTATTCAGTAAGCTGTGAAGTAAAACTGGCTCAGTCTATATGGCTGTAGTGAAATAAAATGCAGACACCAACATTCTGATATTACTCTCAGGAGCTAACTCTTCATACTCTGTAACTGTGGACACGATGTAGAAAGGAATGAAGGAAAGATGACAAAGCATACTGTAGTTTTTATGGGTTGTAAAGCCATAAACTGTAGACTGTTTCAGACTAAACTATAGGTCATAAACTTTAAGCAGCACTTCCATTCTGCCTTAGATAGAAGAGGACCTAGGACAGATAAAAGAATTGTTTGAATGCTCATCATTTTTTGTATTCATGTTCCAGTTACACGCCCATTTTATAGCTCTGTCACTGCTGATCACTCTAAAATCCCATGGCACTTTGTGAAGGAGCACAGTTTTAGCTCTGACCTCATAATTACAGCAACATCTCTTACACATCCTGCAATTCTAACTGGAACCACTGGTTTTCACAGACTGCCCCAGGCCTCAATTCTGTATTTAGACTTACTGTGGGCTGTTATGTAGCTGCTGTTTTCTCTGGTCAGAAGTTCAGCTGAGGGCTTTTGGAAAGATGTAATTCCAATAAAGTGCTGGATGCAGGCCAGTGAAGATATATTGCTGGTGATTTATTTTAATTTTTTTCTTTAGATGAAAAATAATCAATACTAGATATAGGATTAAGAGAAAAAAAGCAACTCCCAATGTGCCAAAAGAAACCAGAAACAAAAAAACCCACCAGTATTACACTGATTATGGAATACCGGGAATGTTTTCAGAAATGATGTCACTAAAATGTATCAACAGTAAGCCAAGGTTTCTTACGTTCCATAATAAATCTAGAGTATCTTCACTGAAAAAAATAATTAAATTGAAATAAAAATAATATGCAAGAAAATGAATGAGAAATATATTGATTCTTTCTCAGAAAAAGAGATTACCAGTCAGTGAAATGGAAAAATCATCAGAAATGTTAGAACTATGAAATTACAGAATCCTATTTTCATATGAAACATAATGTGTGCAGGCCATGCATTGTGAAGCATATAACAGTCAGGAATCTAGCAAGATGCAGACAACCATGACAAAAAACAACCAAATAATAATAATAATTAATTTCTCAAAAAATGCTTGAAGAAGCATACCTGTTTTACCCTTTAAAAGAGAATAAGTCAACCTTCAATTATTTGAGAGCAGAAGAGGATTTAATCTGGGGACGATTTATTAAGTAACTGTGCACATGAAATATTCTTTCAGCGGCAGTTTTTGATAAGCACTCAAAGAGAGAGTAATCCAGAGCAGGTGGGCATGCAGGATTTGTGTGGTAATTTCATAATATATACTCATGATAATGCATGTCCAGTTGATGGTTTGTTTTTCTTTATTCCACGAACTGACCCAGTTAAACATTTGTGTATTTAATATGCCTGAGAAGCTATAATTAGAACATTTTTAATTATTCATCACTCTTAACTCTTCTCTCAAGTGCAGTAATTCAATATGACAGTTCGAAATACTGGAACAGCACCTTGTTCTGAGGAACTTTCTGCTTGTTCTGAGGAACATTTAAGCTTCTGTTTCTTATATGTGTTGTTTTTTTTTTTTTTCCAATCCTGCAATTTTATGTGAAGGATAATAATTGTCTTGGAATGTTTTTCTGTTTATGAAAATCTGGCACAATTTCTATCCTGGAAAAATGATGCAAATTAATTTACCTAAATACATACATTTTAGCACAATGGAAAAGGCTTTTTTATTTAAAAGTTAAAGTGTATTTTATGTTTATCAGCCATAATGTACTGTGACTAATTAAATTTGAAGTCCTCTGTTTATTTGCAGAACAGCTATTATGCAGACCAGGTAAGCTGTGGCATATTTCCTTCCATTATTTTGGAAGTGTTCTCTTCAAGATAGTTAGCAAATAATTTATTTTTCTGCTTATTCAGGACATGATCAAAGCACTTGAGTCAGTATCAAGATCATAGAGACTCCAAAGAGCTCTGGACAAACATTTATGAAAAATGCCACAAAAATATTAAGCATTACCAAGCTGTGGTATGTCATATTTGCACATACCCATTCCTATGATCTGGACTGAGGCAACCTACTTTACATGGGCCATCGTACATGTTCTTGCTCAGCAGAAAATATTTCAATAGATTGTTCAAACAAACCTAAGCTAAAATGACTCCCTAGAAATGCTGAAAACATGTTTTTAAATTTATACACCAATTAACACGTAAAGCTCATGATTATAGCTATGATTATAGCTATGGTCACTGCTAATGTCAGGTCAAAAACTAAATTAATATTTAATACCATACACCAAGCTAATAATTTTACAGAAGAGTGATTTAAGAGTGCGGAATTACGTCATCAATTTACTTGATCACATTTCACCTCCTTTGTACAAGCTGAAGCATAAATATATTTAACTCACTCAGCTGCATTGATTTTCTCTAACTAGTATGCTTGACACTTGTCTGGAGACAAATACCACTTTTTGATGTATACTTCTCCTGGGATTCCTAGGCCTATGCTTAGTTTTTTTTTTCTGTAATCTTAGTGAGGGCAATGAACTATTTAGTTTCTACTCAGGTTTCTACATACAAGTGAAAAATAGTCTCATACCACATAAAATAGAGTATTTCAGGCACTGCAGCGTGTCAGATAACAGCTGAAAGCAGAAAGTTTGCTGTAAGTGCCACCCAGGGTTTATGTAGGGTTATGTAGGGTTTATGTAGGAGGTACACTCTTCTTGCTGTAGACCTTGACATCCCACAGCAACCACATTTCGAGCTAGTGTCTGGACAAAGGTCCAGGATTAACCCTTGAACCTCACACTGCCATTGTGCAGTGTATGTGTACAATTCATATGTACAAGCAGACTGCAAACTGAGGTGACCACAAAATACACAATTTTTTGTACAAATGCAATGCAAACATTATCAGTACCTTTTTTAAACTCCCTCCACTACAGAGACTAAAGACCCCCTTTTGGAGTGCTTTCTTGTTTTGCTGAGTGATTGTTACTATCATACCCCCCTGCCTTTGTCTCCCAGTTAAATTCAGTCTCTATACTACACCTTCTGAAAAGATGACATTATACCCTAGATGTAGAAGAACATGGCTAACAGGGTACCTCTTGTAAAGAGTAGCAGAGGTGATGTTACCATGCTTATCAAGCCCCAAGTTCAAACACTAACCTCTGGGGACTACTTTTATGAAGACTCTTGCCTTGCACAGCACCTATGGGTGCTGTGTTGTGGCTGCTACAAATAGGAGGCTTGATTTCTTGCAATGTGAATGGAGATAGAGGGTGGGTGGCAGCCCTTCTATCAGCATGAAGGCGTGGGTGAGTGGGGGCATGTTCCCAGCGAGTGTGCTTGCAAGATCTGTTTTGGCTCCACTTCTTCCCCTTCCTCCAGCTGGCTGAAGTGGCCTGATTTATAGGGGACAGTGGTTGCTGCTCTGTCATCCTGCCTGCAGGAGGAGGAAGCTGCCAGTCCCTTCTCACTATCCCTCCTTGGTGTATGCAAAAGGTGTATACATCCCTCTCCTAGTTAGTCTTTCCCCATGCAGTACTGCTGGCTCAGAGGGGCCAGATCTCCTCAGCTGTTGTGCCCACTAAGTGAAAAAAGCCCTTTGTAATACTTCTTCTGGTTCTGGGGCAGAGCAAAGTGGGTGGCACGTTGCAGGACTCAGTTTCTTCTTGTTAATAACTTTGGGGTCTTCCTACCTTTCTCAGACTGATGTATTAGGAAATTCACTCCTGTTTTTCTCCTGATTGAAGTAATGATTATGGAAGTATCAAATCTCAGCAAAAAACTTTCTTTGTACATCTGGATTCTCTGTAAGGCCAAAAAGAATATTTGAAAGGTGGCAGTTGATGGACTGAATATGCTCCTTCTCCCAGCCCCATTCTCATTCCTTACCATCCCAAGGGAAAAAAAAATTGCATCCCTGCACTGAGATTACCCTCTGAAAAATCACAGAATAATGTGGGTTGGAAGGGACCCTTCAAGACAATCTACTCCAATCCTCCTGCAATAAGCAGGGACATCTTCAACTAGAACTGGTTGTTCAGAGACCTGTGCAACCTGACCTGGAATGTTTGCAGGAGTGGGGCATGCACCCCTTCTTTGAGAAACTTTTTCCAATGTCTTAACACTCTCATCATAAAAAATGATCTCTGATTTTTTATCTCTAATTGAAATTACCTTTACTGAGCTCTAGGTTGGTGTATCTGGATTTCTCAAGTCCATGGCAAAGCCTTGGTATTTATTAAGAGTACACATATGAAATTGTGCATAGGAAAAGAAAGCCTAATTGTTTAACAAACTGAAGATTGGGCTACATATCTGTATTTAATATTGAGAATACTTGCCTATACAAATCTCCCCCTACTCTTTTTCTCTCAGTCTTACAAAAATTAGATGCTTGTATGTGCAAAATTCAAGTAAAACAATTTTTATTACTTCCTTCTTTGAAGCATAATATCTATGACCTTAGCAAGGTTTTACATTTGTCCTCCTCCAGCATTTCTGGTTGCCAATGTAAATACATGCCATTATATTTAGAACATTTTGACGTGTTTTTCAGGTGTTCTGAGAGCTATTTCTACCAATGCTTTAATGGAACAGTTGCGTTTAAAATATCAACAAAGGCCATGGACTGAAACTCTAAAACTTGTTTATTTTTGCATGGTAAGAATCACAGGTTAGGTGGGAGAAGGCTATGTGGTATAAGAGTATGTTTCCAAGTTAGTTAAAAAATTGCTTGACTTTCAAAAACAAGTAAAACCAACTAAGCAAAAAAACCCCATGCAGTCCAAAACCAACCAAAAGATAACCCCCAGAAAAACCTGGTGCCTAGTATAGCCTGCCTCCCCATTTTTCTTAGGACCATGGATTATAAAAGTTTCCTGCCTAATTTTAACACTTTAGATGTTGTTTCTTCTGTTGTTTTAATTATTCAGGTAATTATTCAGACTGGTTGTCTACCAGTTGAGGTTGCTTTCCATTCATTATCATTACCATGTTCATGGTATGTAAAGACAATTTATTGCCTACAGGACTGGGAAAAAAAATATTGTATTTTAGAAAGTGGTCCAAAATCTGCTATCTAGACTTCGTGCTGCTGTGATATACCTTAAATCATTCCATGCTTCCTGCCTTTCTATAGCCAATTTAAATCTTCATAAAGAGCATATTAACGCAATTACTGTGAGCTCAGTGTAAAAATTCCCACTTTTTTCCATGATACTTTTTATTAATGCTTAACTCAAGCCTTACTCTGAAAACAATGTCCTGAATTTGAACAAAGTGAAAACTCTTCACCAGTGAGTGCTTGTTAATTGAAGTGTGAAATGTGAGAAGTTTTCAGACAAGAACTTGAAGAGAAACTGGGAGAGTTTACTTGCTACTGAAGTGAATATCATCAGCTGAAACTTGTATCCTAATGTAACCAAGTACTCCTGTGGCACTTACTGATCTATTCACTCGGGCAGAATTTTTTGTAAAATTAAAAACACAAATATTTTCTTAGTTTAGCTTCACAGTGAAATTAGCTGACACATCTAGTGATCAGCTCAAAAGAGAGGGGAATGGAAAGCCACTCCTTGCTCCAAAGGCATCTGGTATGTAATTACTGCACAATGATGTCTTCACAAATCCATTCAGTGCTGCCATTTCAGAGATAGCTCCAGTCATAGGTAACCTCTGTGTCTGACAAAAACAAATAACCAGAGGTTTGTTGTATGGGGCATCTGTGTGCTGTGTCTCTTAGCTAGTAATTTAAAGAATCTTTCTCTGTCTTTTGTTTTCACAAATGTGCTAGGGTAACCCACATCGAAAGCCTGTCAGTAATGCTCCAGATGGTCTATTGCTTTCCTGCACGGAGAAGATAGAGAGGACATTAAATGGTAATGAGCTGTTGGATAACTCAAAGTATATTTTTAAAATATTGTGTGGAATCTAACAATCCTTCTCTCTTGATGTTCTTCACAACAAGGTCAAATATACAAACATAGAGGTGGATAAGAGACAAGACTTGTAACTCCTCTTTGGGCTAAGCCTTCAGGCTAAAGCTAGTCTTAAAGCCTGAGAATACTTTCTACCCAGCACAGCACTTAATAATCATAACAGTTGTCATTAATAAAAAGTCATTAGAGAGATACTATTTTCTCATTACCTAAATCATATCCTTTGAAGCAAGAAAATACTGGTTCTACTTCTTGATCAATGCAGTTTGATTAAACTGAATTTCTGTTTTTTTCAGCTAAATCCATGTTTTCTGTGATGAATACGTTGGAACTTTTATCCAGACAAAAAGGGTAAGTTTGTTTATGAATAAATGCAAATGAGCAAGCATGGCCTCAAGTCCAGAGAGGAATACATCTGGATGGCTTGTCAACAATGTTATTTCTTAGCTCAGTGCTCTAATGGAGTGTATTTGCTGTTTTGATTAGCCCTATGTGGAGGAGGTTATTGGGTAAAGAGAAGGCATAAATGCCTACATCCCAAAGCTGCAGACTGAGGTTAATAGTTTTGATCAAACAAACATGATAATGTAAATAGCAGAGCACAAATACATGCCTGGTTGGATAGGTTTCAGAAGCTGAGGCAAGGAGGTGTTATTTTTGAAGCATTCTTTGTGTCTCTTCCCACAACCAAGTGAACTATACTAATTTCCTTTTAAAAGTTACAGAATTTTTATATATACAACCTTTCTTCTTCTTTTTTTTTTTTTTTTTCTTTTTCTCATCTTTCTCAGACTTACTGTTCATGTTAGCCCCAGTGGAACTGCCTGCTACATAACATCAATGATGTTTTATGTAGAAATTCAGCTGGAGAAGGATGGAGATGTGATGGATGTAAAGCTGGCTCACTTTGAAGAAGCTCCTGTGGTAAAATTAATTTTCTCTGTCTCACGACCCTGTAGTCTTCCACCTGGCTTCCAGCTGTCATGTCAGAAAGGTTTTGACTTCCTTTTGGTCTTGTCACACTTGCAAGCCTGTGCATGACACTAGTTACCTTTTTAGGTATCCGACTCTTTCACCCAAACTTACAACTCAGTTACACATACTAAATACTCTAGTGCTAAGTATTACTGTAATAGTCAGCTGACAGGCCCACTTTCCAAGAATTTTGTGGTATCATGCATAAATATTTTTATTTTCATGCTTCAATGTAACCAATATACAGTAAATAACAGGGGCTTAAAATATTTTCCTACCAAAGTGTAGTGCAATATATATTCTCAATGGATGCCTTGGAGCTATTCTGTTTTTTATTCTGCCTTCTTTAGGAATACATATATTTCTACCAGTGGGGATGTTTTTCTAGCAAAATTTCTATTAAATTATTCACAGCATATCACCCTAAAGTTCACATATCATGTTCTGCAGTTGTTACAGAATTACAGACAATCCTTCTGATCAAAGATATAACAAGCTGTTGTGGGGGGTTGGGGAATTTAAACTCTGTTTTTTGTCAGTAAGTATCCAAATTATTACACTGCCCTGAAGTTAATTTTGTCCATTATTTTTAGTTGAAGTCAGCCCTGGAATTTCAAATTGTTCATTTAACCAGCACAGGTCTGTTGATCAGTGAGTGCTGGACAATATCATTAGAATGAAAATGCATATTCAGAGAATTCTAGCACAACCAATAAAAGAAAAACTGGCCAAGATGCAATTTTTTTTTCTGAAAGAGTTTATCAACAAACTATTTCTGTGAATTTTATCCACTTTCACAGAGCCTTTGTTCTTCTGTTAGTCTTGCTTTTCAGTGTTGGGGTCTTTTTTATGCTAACCATGCAGCTATTTCAAAGTAATGGGGATCAAGCTTATCATTACGAATGAAATGTTTATAAAACATGCATCAGAAATGGCAAGAAAGATGAAACTCCTTTCTCTTATTCCTATAGGTTTGTGATGACTTGGTCCAGCTACTAAGGTAAATAATCATGTATAGGGTTTCATGTTGAATGGAAAGGAATTCCTGATGCTAGAACTATTCCAGTTTAAAAACTGAAGAAGGGGAAAAAAAAAAAAAAAGACAATCAGGGAACAATAATATGAATCCAGAAAACAACAGAAGAACGAACTGACAGCATTTTGGATTCCATTTTTCTTAGGGAAGTTGGTTCCAATCCTCCATATTGGAAGTTGGTTGTCATTGTAACTATTATTACTTGCTTCAAATTTGTAAATAGAAGGCTAAAACTGCAGCAAATATAGTTTTGAAAAGATACTCCAGGCATTATGTATTTCTCAAGTCATTCCACCAAATGCATCTGCTTCAACTGAGCAAGGATAAAGAGTAATCCCCAATACATGGGCCCTAGTTTCCAGTCAAACACAGCCTTGGAATACTGGCCTTTGTTTTGACTGCAAGAATTCTAGAACTATTTGGACCCATGGTTTTGGTAATGGACCGATGATGACAATTCAGAACTGATTTACAAACACAGACTAGGTATTACTTTTCCTCTCTTCCTTTCATCAAATACTAAATAGTCTTTGTATTGTCCTTATACAAATACTTTAACTGCATGTCTTTCAGGCTTCTCTCACAGCAATAAAAGCAAGGTGTTATCACATGGCCCGAGTTTCTTTGCAAATACATAGGGGGAGATGTGACCCTAATTTTCTCATATAGCAGTAGGGCACTGTATGTATTTATTATTACCGTATTTTGTTCTGTCTGAATAGTTGCTGTTCCAGGTCAGGTCACCACTTTAAAAGTCTGTTTATAAGTTCTTCAGTGAATATGATCAAGGTTCCAGATTTTAATGAGTATATTTAGGAAACTGGATTCTTATTTAAATACTATACCCAAATAATAGAAAGGGAAGATAAAAAGAGACAGAATAATCATTGACCTTGAGTGTTTCATCTCTCTTTTTCCTCAGAAATTAAGTTATATTTGCTTTATGGGTGTAAACAGCTATGACTTAAAGCTTCAATTTGCACTTTCCTAGATTTTTGACTTCCAGTGATGTTAATGCCAGTAGTTTGGCTCTGAGCACTGGCATATAGTTATCATTGGTACTGTGTGTGCTACTTCTCTGCCTTCCTGGTTTTGTCAAGATTTGTCACAAAGAACAGGTACCCTTTCTACACCTCTTGGTGTATTATTTTATTTGGTTGTCAGGCAGTTTGTTATATGTGTAATGTTTCCTGTGTAATGTTATCCTGTGTTTCAAAGTAACTATAAAATTAAGATGAACCAGCCAGCTAATGCACAGCTGGTGCTGTGTCTGTTCCTGTACTATGCATGCCTGCTTCCCTCCTTTTTCCCTGCTTCCCCATTAGTCTAGCTGGAAAGAGACTGAGGAGAGCTGAGTGACTTGTTTAGGTTCCAGGTTTGAAAGAGTTTGTCCCAATGTCAAAGTTCAGGCAGGCTCATTTTGTCTCTGCTGATCCATGTTGCAGCCACATCTGCATGGGGAGGGAAGGAAAGTCTTGAGCTGTCTGTGTGACTGCAGCACCAGAGTTTAGTAAGACTTGTAAAACTCATGTAAAATCTACTTAAGCAAGTGAGTAAATACCTGGTGGGTTAGTCTGAACACAGTTCCAGGCTGTCACACCAAGGCAAAATCTGCAGCAATTCTGGGGTTTGAGCAGTCTGAACCATTTCTTTTCAAATCAAGCCACTTGTTCCATTCTTTCCTTTTTGATTGATGCATCTATCAGTTATATTTAAGTAATATTTATATTTTAATGAAAAGAGCAATGTACACATGCATGGTCTTAGGAAAGTAGTACTACATTACTAGCTTTATTGGAACATCAGGAAAAGTGTTTTGCAGCAAATGAGCTGTCATATTTGTGTTTTATGTAAATTTATTGCTTTCAGTAGTGCCCACTTCAGTGCCAGCTTCAGCTATAATTACAGTGCTTCTTGCAACAAAACCAGAGGTTAACATTTTCTGCTATCTTCTAAGAAAACTTAAAATCAGTACTGCTACTTGATCTGATAAGGAGGAGGCCGCTGTCATTCTAAAGTGGTGCCTTTTCTAGCAAGTTATGTAAAAAAGTTATTTTCCAACTCATTTAGTAGTGTGATAGTCATTATTTTTTTTTGTTAGGATGAAGAACTATGATGCCTTTGGCAAGATTCTAGAAGACCTGTCAAATATGTATCAAATTCCAGGAAACAGGTTGCAGTTATTTTTTACTCAAAAACTTTTGAAATCCATAGCCTAACTTTCGTTTACTTACAAAAATAATAAATTGTCTTTTCTCTCTTCCAGCGAAATGAAAGCTAAGGGATATCTTGCTTTGCAGGCCCTTGAAAAAGATCTTTATTCAATGTCTCTTCTGGACAGGTAACTTATAATTTATGTCGTTGTCTCTTTACCTCTACCCACACCCCTTAATTTCACTAAAAAACAAGTTAATGGATCTAACTGTAGAGCAGGATGTGGAAGGCTAATGAGTTTTCTCCTACTGGGAAGCTTGAAGCCTTTGTCAACCCCAGATATGGCAAAGGGAAACGATCTACTGAACTCCTGTGCTTTATCTAAGGGATTTCCTGGGAAACTTGTTGATTACAGAGCTTGGGGCTGTGTGCATGTGACCACCCACTGAGAGCAAACAGCAGTAACCTTTAAATCTCCCTGTGGCAGAAGTAAAATAGACCTTCTGGGCTTCTGCTGTTTGAGTATCTCATTTTGTCCTCAGGTTTTAGATCAGGAGTAGTGAATGCCAGCTTTCCTCCTTCCTTTTCTTGTTTCTCCTTTCAAAGAGTAAGATTACAGATAGATGTGGAAGAGTTTCCTAAACCTTCTGGTAATTGTACAAGGATTTTCATTATTTTCAGAAAATCAGAGTTGAGGGTAGTGCTTTCCCTCTGCATTTTTGAAATATCTTCTCTGATATCTTGCCTGTTATGTTACATACACACATACCTTGGCAGGTATGGCCTCCTGTAACTTGAAACACCCTCTTGGATTATTTTTACAGTTTTCCCTCATGAAGCATAATAACACTATGAACTAATGTGCTGTATCCTTGCTGGTCACTGATATCTCAGTAAATATTATTTATAGGTTAAACAGATTATTTGTCCCATCTATGCTCTAAATTAATGCACTGCAGAGTTAGTACACAGCTATCTAAATGTATGGCTGTATGTGTTCAGCTACATGAACACACTTGAAGTCAGAGACTGGTTCAGTTCAAGTTAGTTTATCTAGGTTATTTCTTCATTCTTTGCTCAAGCAGTTGCCACTCTAATATTTTTGACCCCCTTCATTTCTGTGCAACATGAAACAGCTCAGATACAGGGAAATTGGAAGCCCAAGTCCCAGGAGTAATGCATGTGTGGAGTTGTGGTGTTTTGAAAGCTGGACATACAATCTGCTTCCAAGGAAGCATTGTCTTCTTTTGATTAAGGATACAAATTAGAAATTACATTAGCCTAGCTAGCACTGCAATGCAGGAAACACTAATTAAGATGTGTTTTGAAATAGAACACAGGATCTAAACAGAGTTACTGAAGTACTTAATGGAAAAGTAGGACACCTGGTGCCAAGAACTGGAGGTGATTTTTTTTCTTTTTCTCCTTTTTTTTTCCCTTTTCCCTATTCTGAATTCAAAGAATTGTAATCAAAAAACACTACTGAGTTGATCTTTGTGTACAGGAAAGATCCTCTACTATAAATAAAACCTGCTGTAGGGACTTTCTGTGCTTGTATTCTCAGATAATACACAGACTGAACATATACCGAACATATATTGAACATATATTTTAAGTAGAGATGTGCTCTTAGAAGAAATCCCCTATGCCCATCTACAGTGTTGGTTTTTCACCTTTATGTCAAGGTACCCAACATATTTCATCTACTGATCTCTGTAGTAATGACTGGTTTTTTATTCCTCAGGAACCCCAATGAACATTGAATTCTACATTTCTCCCTATCAAGTTTTGGAAGCAGAACTAAATCATGGTAAAGCTATTTCAGCTATTCTGCTGTTTCATCAGAAATAGCTAACATGAAAAGTTTTTCAATACTAACCATTTCATTAAGCAAACTTAATTAATGAAAACTCAGAAATAAAATTTAAAATTCTAATTTAGTAGAACAGTTTGTGTGATGAACTTTAGCACAGTTTTAATGTCCATCAGGAAACTACTTTCCATTTCTTGGTTGTTGATTCAGCTATTGCTGCTATCCTCTTTGGGCAACTTTGGCCTTTTGGTCATCAGTGCAGGCTTCTCTTTGTTGCCCACACCACTGTGGCTGTCAGTTGGACCTGACCTTCCAAGTCCTTACCATTGTACATTTTGCATGCATAGAGTTAATATACACTAAAATAAGGAAAATAATGCCATTCTCTTTCTCCCTCAGGTTCCCAGGTATGTGGAACAAAAACAGTTGTAACTGTTGAAGGCATGGATACACTCCACAAACTGCCTCTGTCTCCATTAATTGTAGATCCTCAAGCTGGAGAGGACAGGTGAGGCTCTGGACACTTGTCAGTACAGAAATGGATTTACAAGACACTGGCATTGACTTCAGCATTTAACTTACTTTTAGCCTCTGCTGAAAGTAGGAAGCTTTGTTTTATTAATGGCTTTATGCTCCATAGCTACACCCTCTATAATCTGTGACTTTTATGGTTTTCCCAAATGGACTTTGAAAGTATTGTGTTCATATTTAACTGTGTCACTATGAATTTATTCATAGATTTGAAGGCAGAAAGCCTTCAAATATTACTGAACTTCATAGTGTTCAACGAGCAAGTCCTTCACAGATTCATAATAAAGAAAGCATATACTGAAAGATATTACACCTACAATACACAAAATAGTGTGCCATCCCACTATGGATACTGACACCTCATCTTTCTCTACCTCAGTGCTGTCTAGAGGGAAAGTCTGAAGTAATTTTCCGAACTAAAATAGTTTGGAATTATTTGTAAAAAACACGGCTCAGTTTCTGTGTCTGACTTTTCCTTTTGTCAGTTTTCACATAAACTATGTTTTAAAGTATTAAAGTTACATTTATAATGCAAAACATTTCTCAAGTCAGAAAATGTATGGAACATAATAAACTGCTAGGGACCTGATAGTGGCCTTGCACTAAGAGCCCTTGTTATGGCAATTTCTGTGAAAAAAAGCTTTCGTTCTGACAGTTTTTTTCCCTAGCAGCCTTGTTTTTTTGCAACTGACTGATGAACTCAGCATGGATTTGCCAGCTCTTTTTGTTCTGAAGTTTCATCAACCTGTTCCAATGTCTTCATCCAGTATTGAAGAAATACAGAGGCTCACAGGCATGTTGTAATTGTTTTTTAAGACTAAGTGCTACTGTGACTATGTATTGCTCATTTGCCTTTTACTTTCCCGTGTTAATGTTGCAAGAACAAGTTGCTTCTGGGGCAGAACATACTCTGTTCTATCAGTCCAAGTGTAACATTTAACAACCATTGCAAAATGCAAAAGTTCTAAGAAAGATATGACAATTACAGGCAAAGTTAAACACTCCTACCTCAAATTCTCAATAGCAAAAAAGGGGAATAAAAAAGAAAATAAATATTTTTGTCTTTTCAAAACACTGGGTTTAATAGTAGCTTTCATAACCTACTGTCATAACCTAATTGCTAATAAAATGACCTGGTTTCAGGAATTCAGATTTCTGGCTTGAAACTAGCTCCACTGTATGAGCTAATTGTTCAGTCTACTCTTAAAGAAAAATGCAGTGAAGACTTGTCTACAAATAAATCTTGTTTCTTTGTGGTAAGTATAGTGTTCATTTGACATACACTGTGCTGTTGCTCATGATATATATATATACTAAATTACCATTTCCCTGTAAGCAAGCAGTGTAGGTTTCCCAGAATCCCAACAAAAGGGCTCTTTAGGAAATAGTTCAGTTTATGAAGCAGTATTAGATCCTTTCATGTAAGTGAGCTTCTCATCCTCATTAATGAAACACTGTGTGCTTGGCTGCTGAAGTCATACTAATTTGTCTGTGTGTAACCCAAATATTTACTCTTCTAAAAATTGCTCAGAACTTTATCATTAATGCCTTAAAAAGAAGGAAACTTATTGACTGGTGTGAGGATCAAGTCCCAAGAAGGTACTTACCTAGATTTTTGAAGATCTTTATCATGCTGCATGTCACACTGTTTCAACAAAAGGGATGTTTAATTAGATAACAGTGGGACTATTGATTCTTTTTAAACAGACTGGCAGGAAGAAACACATAAAGTGTTACAAGAGTGATGCCAACAGCTATCGAGAGACAAGGTTGTTTAACTGTAAAACTTCCTTTTAATAACTCCATTATTGAAATACAGTTGCTCAGGCTGCATTATATGTAAAGTTTTAGAATAGAAAGTTGTGGCTAAGATGCTTTCTGGCAGACTTATGTACAGGGCAACTACAAGACAAGCTTCAAAGAGCTCCTTCTGTTTGCTAGGAAACATTAATTTTGCAATTCATGGCAGCAAAAGAAGAGAGCACTTTTTTCTGTTCTACGAGCAGTGTTTGTAGAGCCCATTGCCCTTTTAGTTCTTGCACCTTGAGGTGCAAGAAGGTAGTAGTAAATTTATACCATGCTAAAATAATGTTTGCCAAAGCTCTTCTGTTCTGTAAGATGGAATTAATCTTTCAATTCTATTAGATACACATGAAAAGGCTCTGTAACTTTTCAAGAATTCCCTAAAATATTTGTACTTGGTGGAAGAAGGTTTTACTTCTGAGTTTAAAGATTTAATTTCTAGAATTACTAAATTGCATTCTAATCTTGAAATAAGTGTAGGGGAAATCCTTTTGATCCATGAATACATGAGGAAAAACTCTTCAGCTTTTATTAATGTAGACCCTCCTAATTAACTGCCCTGCCCTGTTCTTAAGGGGACAGTTCCCACTTGGCATCCTGAAGTAGATAACATAATAGTGGCACTTCTAATTTCATCAGAGAATCACTGTTAACATGGAGAGGTAATAAATTTTTCTTACTATTCCTCCTCATCTTCAAGTGAATCTCGGGAGATATTCCAGCCAAACATACCTCTCCAAAGAAGAAGTAGTAGTGATGGAGGTTGGCACATCTGATTTCTGGTACAACTGCTATCCTGTTTGTGCAACTATCAAGCAGCATTACTATGACAGTATTATCTTGGTCACTAACATTTTTATAGCCTATAGGGCTCTGAAAAGTTTTTGGAAGAATTGGTGACATTTGAACTCCTGACAACTTGGCTCTGGGTGTATTTGCCTAATTTGTATATATTTGGATGGGAGTGGATGTCATTTAGCTCCCTCTAAGGATTCTACTAGAAATGCAAAGGTATGATGGACATGCTAGAAATGTACCTTTCAAAAATATATTTGTTGTAGATTGTAAAATTGCCTGATAACATCAAGCTCTACTTTCCTGTTTTCAGTCCTTGAAATATCACCACATTTGTTGCTTAGTCTCTTCCAGATTGCCCAAAACACTGTTACTTCATAAACAAAGGTTCAGAAAAATCAGATTTAGCAGGAGCTTTGGTCAGTAAAATCCCATTTAGCCATCCAAAGTGCGTGCCTGGCGTAATAGAGATTCTTCGACATCAAGTGGCATATAACACTCTTATTAGCAGCTGTGTCTCTGAGAAGCATATAAATGAAGGTAAATTGTGTGGCTGGAAGTGATGGCACAGTATTAGAGACAAACTAGTTTCTAAGTTGGGTGTTGACAGATTTTACTGCTCCCTTGCCAAAACTGTCATTAGTTGTGGAGTACTGTAAATGATAAAAAATTCTTAACATTGTATTGAATTTTTTTTTTTTTTTATTTTATGCTCACTCTATGCACATAAACTAAGATGTCAAAGTAATGAGTAATTAGACTATTGTATCAGTATTTTTTAAATTTTGGCATGTAATTCAGCCAAAAAGAGTCAAACTTCAATGGTGGATACTGCTAACCAGTAATTTTATTTCTAGATGATTCAGAACTGCTTTACTTTGAAGTGGTACCACACAAGAACACCAGCTTTTCTGTCTTTTTCCTTCATCCTGTGAAAGAGAATTTAGCCTGTGGTATGTGTGGAATAATTGCTACTGTCCTCTTTACTGAGCTGATAAGGGACTTGGCTCTATCTAGGCTCTTGCACTGTATCTCAGTTACAAATATTCTAAGGGCCACTCAACAGTCTGCAGCCCATGAAAAACACCAAGTGTATACACTTGTATATAAACTCCTTACTAGAAGGTGCTCTGTACTCAGAATAATACAGGAAGTAAATGCAAATATTCAAGTCCTGTTTTGTCTTGGACTGCCTTTATTTAATAAATTGTAACTTCCTCTATTTTTGATTTAATTATATTAAGGAAAAACAAGTAATGCAAATATATTGCTGCAAACCTCTTTCCAGTGATTTCAGTCTTACGTCTCTTCAAGCATCAAAATGAAAGGATGGTTTTCAATGTTTGTAAGTATTTCAAAACAAACATTTTTCTGTTCTGTTCCTTCTTAGTTGTAATTGATGTTATAAGCTCTAGAGAAGTCCAATGTCACCTTCATTTAAATCCTCAAGATCCAACTCTAAATTCTAGTGATGACTTCATAGCAAGAGTTGTGAAACGGTAAGTACTTTTATTTTATAAAAGTTGGAATGAACATCAGATGTCCATTTAATGGTAATATCATGTGCATTCATAATGCCATAAACTAAGCAACTGGAAAACTTCTCTCTAGTAAAATGCTGTAATACAAAAGTGGGAATAAGTTACTTCAGTGTCTTAAATAGCTCTTTCAAAAATTTTAAACGTTCACAGCGATGAAGTGTTTCTAGTAGAAAGCATGTGGAAGCAGGGGAAGACTATTGAGTGAAGAGATTTACCTTGTAAAAAGATGCTTTTCTGAAGACTCTAGCTGATGACAGTCTCATGTCTAGTGCAACTTAGCATGGAAAGGTCTTTTTACACATCTACCTAATAGCAATCAGTGCTTCTCTTCAGAAAGTGAGTTGTATACGGCATGCCTACAACACTGTCTCTGGCTTGTTTTCTGAACAAATTCCAAAAGAGCAAGTTGTTGTGATACATGAGTATAGGCTAGACAAACTGATTCAGAACATAGTCTAAGAGCACTAATTGATTTGGCATAAGCTAGTATAGAGCTATCATCTGTTTGATGACAACAAAATCAATGTAGGCTGGATTTTGAACATGATTTTAAACTAGGTACTATTTTTGGAACCAGGTAAAGAATGGGAAAAAAACCTCTTCCAATACAGTGTGTTAGAAAAGATATGTTCTGTACCTGTGTTACATAAAAAAATTAAGGTTAAAATTATAAAACTCAACAAGAATTAATATATTTCAATATTCTTAGTTTTGGTTTTCACTAGAAGCATCCTTATGACTTTTTTTTTTTGACCAAGACCCTCCCACTCTTTCAGTCAAAGCTGCCTTGCACACCCAACTTCAAAGGTTCAGCACTAGATTTCAGTGTGTTAACATGTATTGCTAGTACAGCACATGCAGTTTATATTCTAGTTACAATGTAACACCAGGTTGTACAAGACAAAAACAGAAAGGAAGTAATGGTGGTTTTCATTCATGTGTCAGCCACAGTGTAAAAAACAGAAGTACTTTAAGGAATGAATGAAGTCTGTAGTAGTGACTAATGTGTCATTTCCTTCTTCAGTTGCATGTCAGTCCCAGTTGTCATGAGAGCTCTTTTCAGGAATGCTGCCAAGGTGAAAGCTGACAGTGAAACACAAGACATGAACATGGAACAACAACCTGAACCACAATCGGAGCAAACTACAGATTCTAGCAGTCTCAAAGAAAGCCTTTCTGGGGCTGGTCAGCAAGATTGGGTAGTGACAGATAAGCCAAATAATACAGACAGCACAGAAGAAGATTTCTCTACAGCCAAACTGGAAACTCTGGGTGATAACATGGAAAAAGAGTAACCTCTCACTATGCACTGAAACTTAGGAGGAAAGTAATTCCATAGCTGGTATAGAAGTGATATGATAGACAAAAACCTGATGGCTTTACAAACAACAACAAAAAAGTCTACTTAGTAATTTGTGAATTGTATCTCCTCTATGCAAACTTTTACATATGGGAAAGTAGTTCCCTTGAATCTGCATTTTTCAACATCCAAATCTCTAAAGTCTAAAACTGTTCTATTATTTTGTCTTGTTACTGAAAACCTCAAAAATTGCCTTGGTAAATAAGATGCCCTCTAATACTGTTTTTTTTATTGTTAGAAGGGAAGGCATTACTTTATTCTTGGTCAAGAGATGTGTGTGGCTGACAAAGTTCCAGCCTCAGTGTTGACCCTGATACAAAACTCTTTCACTTATTTATGCATTTTTAGCAAACAAAGACATTAATTTATTCATTGGTTTAATTAGTATTCTATACCCTGTTAGTTATTGATTTCTTTCTCTTCATGCTAATCTGGTCCTCATCCTTTTATCTTTTTCTCAGACAGTCTCCAACTTTCCAGGCCTTAATCTCCTCTATATCCTCCAGTTACTCGAATGTCCTTGAATGGCCATAAATTTAAGATCCCAGATGCCAAATCTTCTAATTCCTTTGGCTTTGTTTATTGCAGATTGTTATGCTTGGTTTTAACAATCTTAAGGTTTCAGTGATTTAAAGATCATAGTAGGTCAGTGAAGAAACTTAACTGGTGTTGGCTATAAGTGGACACTGCTTACAATTGGTTAAAACAACTATTTAAAAATTAGTTAGGTAAGTTATATAACTTCCAACACTGTCTGCACCATATATACTATCAGACTATGGAAGAAATCTGTGTCTAACATACATGATACAGTCTATAACACAACACAGGCATTTGAAGAAAAGTGATATTTATCCATATCAACATTATGCTAAATAAATTGAGAAAAAGTTACTTGAATGATTTTTGTATATACACAATTAATGCAGACATCCCTCTCTGTTCACTATTTCATAAATGCATTCAGTGCAAGACTCTGAACTACAGGTCTGCTTACCCCTAAAGCAGAAGTGGCACTGAAAGGAAACCAAACTTATACTCTGTCAACTCTGACAGGATAAACAGTCTTTAGTAAGAATGTTGTAAACTCAGCCTCTGAAATTTTTGCCTTAGATTTTTTCTTGCCTCAAAGTATGAAATGGTTTTGTGCTTTTTTTTTAATTGTAGTTTACTGTTCAAAATCTTACTTTGCCTATGTCTAGACTTCCTTTGTCTCCAATATGAATGAGTTAAAAGAAACTTCCAACAAGTAAACTGGTAACTTACTATAAATCAGTTTAATTAATGTAAAACAGAGGCATTCACAAAGAAAAAACTTTCTGAACAGAGCACTTTACAGCTACAGTTAAGGGAAGCAAAGGAAAGCAAGTCAAATATAGAATAGTTACAGAAATATGAAATAATCAGAAATAGGCATGTGTGGCTGATGTGTTTCTAAGAGGTAGTGAATAAGCTTTGCTTCCTTGAGGAGCTTGAGAAAAGCATTATTGGAATATGGGAAAGAGTTCAGGCTAGAGGGACTGACAAAATAAAGACAAAAATGACACAAGGATGTTTGTTCAACTAGAAGCATGTTTAGTGCAAGCTGACATGGTAAGAACAGATGTCTAAAAGTAAAACAATGGAATTGTCAGCAATTCTGCATTTGAGGAAAACAGTGTGTTTTCAGCAAACGTGACAAATATAGCTACCTAAGGACGGAAAATAGTTTTTAACAATGAAAGTGCATTGCATCATGGGTACAAAAGATAACACAAAGAATTCTGACAAAAGGTCACAGCAGTGGATCATTCTGCATACAGCGTACCATCAACAGCAGCTTATTCTGCAAAACCACTGACCATTTCCATAGCACCGAGCATTTATTCTTTTGATATTGGAGGGGACCAATTTAGAGGGGCTATTTAATGGACCTCCTTTATTTCCAAACTGCGGTCAAGAAAAAAAATGAGGGTGAAATGGGAGCTCCTGATACAAAACAGAAACATGTTTGGTAACTTTGTAAAGCTTTAAAGTCACTGCCCCTTTCTGTGAATGTTACCTTCAACATTGAAAGTGAAGGGATTTGCCAAAAGTATGGTGAAGATTTACAAAAATAACTTCTACTGTAAAGCATCAAAATCAGATTTTCCTAAAACAAAAGCAATGCATCAGCCTGTACATGGCCCACAAACTAAGAATCAAAACCACCTGTGATAGTTTTAAGTACCACGAGACAGAAAAACTAATATTCCAGTTGCTGGACATGATGGAGTACATCCAGGGATAAGCCCAGTTGCTCTACTAACCACACAGTCTGCTTTTTAACCCAAGCAAGGGTTGAGTTTTCAGGATCTGTGCAGAGGTTTTCCTTGCTGCACTCAGACTGCAAGGAACCAACCTCACCATTATTCCTACAAATGTTTTCACCAGAGCTGCCAGAGTCTTCGTGTTTTCCATCTTTAACTTCCTTGTACTCTGTCCCAGCTGTGTGATTAAGGTCCATGTCCTGAACTGAGTCTAAAATGTGTCCAAGATGTGGCTGTTCTTCAGTAGAATTCAGATACTTAAGCACATCATCTTCGTGCTTTCCAACCACATCAAGAAGATTATTTATTGTACTTAAAGCAGAATCATGTCCATTAAAACGACACCAGGATAAGAGAGCACTGAAAAGTAAACAACAAAAGTGATTATATTCATCTACATAGATCTCCACTTGGTGGAGGTAGATAGCAATGTGACAAGGTATCTATAAATCATAAATACATTTATGTGTGATTCACACTTTATGGAAAATTCAGGCAGTAGATCTAAAGATTAAGCTTAAATATGTAGATTCAGACAATTTTGAAAGAGCAACTGAAAGAGATATTTTAGAAATTATACTTCTACTCCCAGGTAGGCATTCCCTGTTTTCAAGATCTGGGAATTCTCAGGCTGCTCACTTTGGACAGTTTTAAAATGTGTAGTTGTTTCTTTTTCTGGTTTTTGTTTGTTTGTTTGTTTGTTTTTGTGTGTTTATTTTAGTTTTTGGTTTGTTTTTTAAATTAAAACAAACAAAAACCTGAATGCATGTTACCCTGTTACACACCCTCCACATACACTTGACCTTAAGGAGTTTTCAACCTACTTCAGGGTTCCTTTGAACTGGCCACATGTAATCATCAGCTCGGCACCGTGTCTGTAACCTTGATTAAAGCCTGTCTGGAGAGCAAGCTCTTTCCCAGCCTCAATTCCATCCCTATAGCCTTCCTGTAACAAGAGCAGCGAAACAGGTTGTTCACAACATGACACAGTAGACCTCTGACAAATATGTAACAATAATAATAAAAAAGTTTAAACAAGTATCAGAAGTATTTAATCTCTTCAAGTTACAGCTTCTGTATCTGAACATCCTTTGCAGCTACATCCCCCACTGCCAAACCAAAACATGCTTGTTGCAGTGTATTATGATTTACCGACCTGTAAGATGAAGTTTTTTTTACTTTTCCCAAAAGGATTTCCAGAAAGTCAGAAAATAGGGAAACTTCTTTTAGAAAGAGCAAAAAAAAAAGAGCATGTTTGCTTTTAATGATTACCAACTCCTTTGAGAGAAATGGACTTAAAAATACCACACAGACTTCTTTTTTCTATCTAAAATGGTATGCAGGCTGCCAAGCTTCCCCTTTAGCAAAGGTACTCTCCCATCTGTAATCCATCTGCATGCAATCCATTTCCTTTATTTGCTGGACCTCACTGCATTTGAGAGTTATACCAGAAAAGGAGACAGTGATTGACTGAGTCACATATAAATACACTTAACATTGGGACTGCTTTCTTTAAGTAAAAAGCTAATGATTGTAATGTGAAATACTTTCTATTATAACTACATTACAACATTACATAGAATAATTCTTAACTTTTTTCACACCAAAATTGCAAGCTGTGAAAGTGAAAACTCCCTTTTGCTCATGGTGGCCTTGCTAGAAAAGTAGTCTGGAACACAAAAATTTATTTTGCACAACATACAACTCTAATTTCAACAACGCTTCATGATTTTGCAGAATCTACTCAAATATATCAGAGGGATTTCTGTAAGAACAGTTCCCTATGAAAAACAGTCCTTTCATGGAACTCAGATGAAGGACACTACACCAGATCTGCTGTAATACCATTCCTCATCAATAGCCTACACAACAGTTTCCATCCATGTTCTTCAGCCAAACTCTACTCAACTGTTACCAGATGAGCCCTACTGGCCCCACTCTGAATGATGCAGTATCTGTCAAACTAATCTGTTTATGAACTTGTTTTGCTCCCTGCAGAACTTCAGAGAGGCAAGGGCTGTGGAAAGCAGCTTGAATAAAATATATATTTCACTAGGAGAATAAATCAACCAAAGACCTACACAGACCACAACGCCCAATTGTGGTTGTACATGGAGTCACACATCTTATAATCTGACTGATGAGTAACTCTACTCAAAACCCCAGTCATCTCACATTCCTTTATTAGCACTGTTCAGCTCTGTTGCCCTATATTTACTAGGAGTATACCTACAAGTACAAGGGAAGTAGCTTGCATCACAATTCAGCACTGCCTTTTATAAATGCACATGGTTGTGCAGAGGGAGACAATGTCTTTTGGTAAAGCAGTACTTTGCTCTAGTGACTGTTAAGAAGTCCTTATGTAAATTTCTGCCATATTTTCCTGATATTCAGAAGAAAGTATGCCACAGTAACTTTCAGGCAGCTACTTTTACTATTCCCTTTAAATAATTCACATGTGTATCAAGTTATGTGTCAGTAAATCTAAAATGACTAAAAAGAATATTAAACCATTTTTACAGAAATACCTTCAATCTCTTTTTCATAGTGCTGTTCCATTCCTTCTGCAGTAGATACATCTCATCTGCATCTTCATCAAATATATCTTCATTGGATTGGCTCACTGCAACTCGTACCCAAGACATAACAGCAGTGCCCTATGACCCCGTTTATGTGGAAAAAACACTGAAAAACTCTCAGAAGTTTCTGAGAGACATTCTCAGTGCCTCTGACAAAGTGTCATATTGGAAGTATTGCCAAAGCTGTGAGCTCTGAAGAGAAGCCAGGTATGGAGCTGATTATTCAAGCTGTACATGGGAACTTGGTGCTGTGTGCCATTGGGGTACATCTGTCAAGAAAAGGCAGTCAGACCATCATTCATAAAGTAACTTCTGAGATATATTAGGGCAATTTATGATAGTTCCTTCCCACTTTATGGCGCTGACACATATATAGACACCAACAAATCATTTCTGAATACTGCCAGTACAAGGATAGCTGGCAGAAACAACTTTATGACTTGATTCCAACAGCAGCTGACAAATAGTCATATAGAGCCTCCATGTGGTGCCCTAAGTAATACAGGCTGTATGTACAAACACAGTTTTCTATATTTGTATTGCGTACACAACTTACTACACACAAGTTATGTTAACACCTACAGAATTAACAACTGGAAAGTACTTTCACCTTGGAGTTGCACTTTTGTTGTTTATGCCAAATACTTAACTGTCTTATAAAACTGAAACGGTTCTTTCAATTTTGAATAAAATTCAGCAAGTGCTGCTGCAGTGCACAGGAGAAATTTTCGGATTATTTAGTCTTTTACTACGACGAAAACTTTGAGAAGCTTCTCAAAACTAATTCATTTGCATCGCTGTAAATTGTTAGAACGCACACTGTTCCTTGCGGAGACACCGGCGGCTCTCAGAGAACCCATGGCGCTGGGCCAAAGCGGCTGGGGTCCTGCAGCCTGCGGTGGCAAGCGGGGCATCCCCCGGCCGCACGGCCGCAGGCAGGGCCAGGCCCCGGCCGCCATTTCACGGCCGCGCAGGGCCCCATCTCCCCAGAAGCGGCCCCCACGCTGGGGGAGCCTTCCTGCCCCCCGCCCGGCCACAGACGCTGCCTCCCCCCGCCTCGCCTTTCCGCGCTGCTCGCACAGCCGCCGCCGCCAGCCCGGCCCGCACACTGACCCTCACTGCATCCACCGGCACACCGCGCTGCGCTCGGCCATCTTCACTGAGGGCACACGGACGTCGCTGCCGGCGGAAGTAATTGGACTGCCACGGCCATGTTGGACAAGGGCAAGTTCCGAGGAGGCTGCAGATAAACAGCCGCCATCTTGGCTAGCAGCACTCTGACGTCATATCCCGTCAGAGCCCCTGGAGGCGCCATCTTGAGTGAGGGCGCAGCCCCGTGAAGGGGGCGGGGCGGCCCCGCGCGCCGAGGGGCGGGAGCCGCCGCGGTCGGGGTCCCTCGCGCCGGCAGCACCGCCCCTTTCTCGGGAGGCGGTGGCGCGTGGCTGCCACACTGCCCTCAGGACAACTCCAGGGTAAAGTGTTCCTCGGGGCACGAAGGTTTCATCCTCTTTCCGGTCACAAACGGTGGAATTTAAAATAAAAAATCTGCCTTGTTGACTTTCAGAATCGTCAAGCACTTTATGTGAAGCATGCCCTTAAGCTATCCTCTACAAGACCCAGGTATTAGAATGATAAATCCTTCTTAATATGAAAGGTGCCAGCGGGAGTCAAGTGTTTCATTGCCGTTTTTGACTAGAACAGGAATATCCTGTTGACATAAATAAAACACAATAAAGTATAGTACATAAATTACGACAGTGTTGGTGCATGCCGCATTTGGTTTATGAGCAAACGTTTAAAGCTGATTTATCTTCATGAACACACAGTACATCGAGCTTGAATTCAAGCTGCCTGTTCCTCCGAATTGTCAGAGGCTGTACAGTAAACGCCGCCCTGTGCTGAGCGCCTGCGGCCCCTGGCAGCCCGATGCTCCTCTAGGGGCCCGCACTCCCCGGCCACTGCCGGCTGTCCCGTCTCCTGTCCCGGGGTGGCTGGGGACATTCCTCACAGCACGGCTTGGGACACTGCAAGCACAGCAGCAGGGCCTGTCTGTGCTCTGCAGGAACCAGGAGATGAACAAGCGTATGCTGTAAACTGTGCAGCCACTGCACTCCCTTTCCCTTCTGCTCTGCAAATAGCCGTGTCCTCCTGCTTATATGACCACAACTGCGTATCTGCTCCTCAGCAGTTACTACACGTGTCAATGACAGCTGATTTCCTAGCCCACTTCTGTCACTTCCAACTCCTGTTTGGCAGAGCCTAGCTCTGCTATTCCAAAAAACCTGATAGAAACACTGACTATTGCTTGCACACACAAATGCACAGTCACGAAAAACCCTTCTGGCAACAGAAACATTAACTGTTTAATGACACTTAGCAAATTTTCACCAGGTGGAAACAATTCTTCATCTGGCAACAACACTATTAAACTTGGACTAACCCTTTACTTATCATCTTCTGCTCTGTCTCCTCTGCCTCTTGCTCTTCTGGAAAAGATACACAGGTCATGGCTCAGGGAAGCTGAGAGTTTCCCAGTTCACACTATCAGTTTAAATGTCTTAAATTTAACAAAGTTGATCATCCCACACACATGTTTAAGAACGAGTCCTTATAATTATGAGAAAAAAAGAAATCTTATATTTCCACCCCTTTCTGTTTTCAGTTGTGGGTGGATAATTAGGTGAATCATTGTATACCTAGAGCAACATTGTTGGGATACCAAGTACAGCTACAACTTGAAGACAATTTGATTCTGTGTTAATGGCCTGGACAGGAGTGCTGGGATTGGGGGTGAGGTGTGGTGCCTCGGGGTGTGGATGTTTTCCACACTTATATTTGTTCTAAATGGGGCCATGTCTGTGTATTATAGTGACACTCTGTCAAGACACGTATCAGAAGATCAAAACAGGAGAGCAATATTTCACTAGCTAAAAAACAATTCTGATATTGTTGCACAATAAAGTGACCTGAAACTGTGCAAAACAGAGTAGTTGACTTGTGTCCCATTGTAAAGTTTGCCAGTGGAATATCTAAGTTTAAAACTGGGCTAATTTTAGGGTATTTGATATACCAGAGGTACTTCTGGAACATGAATATGCAGCAGCTCATGCTGCATCTCAGCAGCTACTGAGCCCTGCTTGCCTGGTGTACTGGGGAGAGCTTCTAGAGGGGTCAGTACACAGAGATTAGCAGTACCGAGAGATTTCAGGAGATCATTACACAGGAATTCTGTCGGCTTCATCTTAGCAGTAAGTTTTGCCGTTAAACAATCAGCCATGTGTGATCTCCAGAAGTGAAATATATGAGCATAAGGTTCCTTTGCACTGTTTTTATTGCATATAATGCTTATAATGCTTCAGCTAAAGCTCTTATTCAGTTCATTATTATACAACTTTGTCTCTCAAATGGAAATGGATGGGAGCATCCAGTGGATTTTGTCATAATGCAGAGACCTCAAGATTTCAAGCTTTTTTGAAGGGTGGTTGATTATCTTGTCCAGGACTTGTATACAGGCCACTCTGTGGAGCGGGTTCCTTTCCTTCTCACTACAGCAATTTCTGTTGCTGTGTACTGTTGTTTCAGGCAGAATTGAGTAAAGCCTTGTGAAGGACCCAGGGCAGAGGACTATTTACAACATAAATTATTCTCCAGTCATGCAATGATTTTGGACTGACAGAGATGTGTTTCATTGACTCCAACTTTGGGAGTAATATAATCCTTTTAAGAAAGCACAGCTCTTAAATTGTATTTGAATAAATTTCAACACTTAAATAATTTAAACTTTTACTTGTCTTCTATAGTAAACAAGACAAAAACATAATGAAAAAGATCAAGCTATCAAAATGTGAGAATGGAAACCATCAATATTAAATAGAGATGGTGTATGCAAACACTAAACATGGCACAGTGTTTCCAAAGAGCATTAAACCGTAAGCCTCTCCCAAAATGTGTACATATTCTATGGTCAGCTCTGTAGTCTTTTCCAGGTATGAGGCTCTACTGCCTGCTCAGATTCTAGGCTGTTTTCTGTGAATATCATGATAACAGGGCACTGGTAGGACTGCCTACAATGGCATCAAGAAACACATACCCACACACAGTCGATGTCTCTGTCCTGATCTTGGATTTGTGCATCTTTTCTTTATGCATGGATGGGCTGTGGAGTTGTGTACTGCTGGCTGAATTTCAGTAATGATACAGTGACCTCCAGCACATAAATCCTTTGCTACCACAGAGAAGGAAACAGTGAGCAAACAGGTTAAGTGCAAGGTCATAGGTTTAATGAGGTTTTAAAAATTGCAGCTCATAGCATAGGAGACTATAATGCCCCTAAATTGAAAAAGAGGGTTAAAATAAACTTCTAGGATCAATGATCATTACCAGGGCATGGTAATAAACATACACTTCTGTATTTTCCTATTATATCTCTCACACAGGGTATGAAGACAATTTACTAGTGAAGCCCTGTCACCCTCTTCTGATGAAGGTTACTAATACATATGAATTACTTCTCTGCTTTTGTGAAATCACTTCTCTCTTCTTTAATAGCATACAATAATATTACAACAAAAACTCTCTGGGTCAAAATGTCAAATTTAATGTCAGAAGAAAATGGAAGAATATGGTAAAGAATATATCAAAGGTAAATGTCTAGCATTCACTTCCAAGCATCACAATAGTCTTTAAAGCTCTCTTGCCATTAATTCTTACACAAGTGTTTTCAAGGGAGAGGATACTTTTTCTACCTCTTCCTTCACCTGTATAACCAAAGCACAGAACTTTGATAGTTAAATATTACAACAGGACAGTTTTCTTATTTGCAGAATCATTACCATTTCAGATCCTGGCAAAGAAACCTTTCCTGTCCATTTCATGAACTTCGAGCAGTTGGGCTTAAACTGAATTTTAAGCAGAAATAGCTAAGCAAACGAATATTTTTTTACCTCCTGCTTTCCCCAGGCTTTCTTTGAATGTCCTCAGGTCTTGCAGTCTGGAAAACTGTACTCTGCAGTGCTGCATACTAAGCAGAGCAAAATGTACACTTTATTAACACCAAAACAATTCCCTTCTGTTATTTTCCTTAGTTTTCTCCTCAAATAAGAAAAATTTGTTGTCCCTCGAAGTAACCCATATTTTTATTCTGGAGCTCTGATAACAACTCTAACACTACAAAAAAGATAGCATGGCTGAGATCAAAATGAGCTGTATACACATCCCAGCTCAAAATTAATGTTGACAGAAGAGAGTGTAGTATGGGACTACAGTATTATTTTTAGAATATACAACAGAGAAACAAGGAAAGAATATTCCTAAATGTCTTCAATCTGTTGACAATGAGCTTTTTACTGTGTGAAATTCCACATGAACAGAAAAAGGTTATGTCAATAAGGGCAAGAAAATGAAATAAGTTCTACATTTCAGTTGTGTAACTGAATCATGTGTCTACTGAAATTGTAATATTAGAGATGAGTATCACTGGGTTTGTATCATCAATAAATCAGGACTCCAAAGCTTTCTGACTCAGATATTCTTAAATAAGATTATTTTTGATGCAGAGCTGCCTTTCTTGTTTGTATGATACTTGACCATAATATGCAAATGTTTACTGTCAATGAAATTGATCCAAGTAGAATGCTGTATTCTGCTTATGGATTTCCCCAGCGAATTGCATCTCTATTCAAATTACACAGAATTTTTGTCACACTTCATTTCTTCCACAGGAGAGAAATGCCAGCCTTTTGCTTTTGTCAGAGAAGAATTGCTCTCTCTGTGTTATCCTTTGTATAAACTCAGGCAAATGCTGACAAACTGCAGGAATAGCAGCGGTAGTACAATGCTGATACAATTGTCTGAAGTGAATAGAACTGCTAGAAGTCGTAAAACCTGTGGAGTGCACTAATTTTCTTGGCACCTGAAACCAGGAGAAAACAATTGTTTCAGTGGCAACACACAGTTTCAGAAAGGTGGAGGTTATGACATGGGTAGTTAAATGGTGGTTTTTGAGTTACATGTGGATTACACTGGAGCAACTCCAGTGCAGCATGTATGCCATATCTGCAGTGTATAATTGGTTGGCTGACTGTGCTTGCACAAAGGCTACTGGGGAACTCATATCTCAGCTGAGGAAGAAAGTGAACTGGCAGTGCTGGACCTCTTGGGACTCCCTTAACAGGGAGCTACAGCCTCCTACAGAGCCATTGTCACCTGTAAATGGCTACCTAAGGTCCCAGAGGATGGCCCTGCTAACTGAGACAAAACAATTGTCCAGGACAGTATAATGCTGGGCATGGAAAAATGTTT